CCATTATACAAGTAAATCACAAAATAAACCATGTTAGTGAGAAAAATAAATGCAAAAAAAGAGAAGAGAATGAATTTGAGACTCTTCTAATGGTTAGTCCAATATATATTACAGAAAAAGTGAAAAAATAACCAATAATACAAAGCATGCTAGTTGTGGGGGGAGAAATTAATTTACATATTGGGTACAATAATTTGTTAGATAGGGGAACGTCTTCTTAAATTCTTATCATCTTTGAATTCGTTTTAACTGGAGAAGACTGGTCTCGCTCTCTCTTCAGCACACGTTTCGTCACGACGATCACGCTGTCATCGAAGTTACGGAATTCAGGTTCCGAACCAAGGTTTTCCATTTTTACGTTCTTGTCAGAGATTTCGCGTAGAGTTCTCATCAGCAATGGAGAGTTCCGAGCAGAATCGCTGACCAAACGAAGTTTGGGCTGGGCGGAGCAGCTGCCACGAGGCTCGGCGTTTTCTGAAAAATTAGAATCTCAACTTAAAGATGTACCATCACTATATCGTACCTTTCAACCCTTCAATCTCCTGGTTCTTCTTCTTCAATTCCTCTTTCAACTCTTCATTCTGTTCTTGGAGACCACTGTACAATTTCTTCTGCTTCGTGGCATCGTTCTCCATCTCCGTCAACTGTTTTTCCAACTTCTTATTCTGTCGAGACAGCTTTTCAATGAGCTTCTTTTGATCATTTTCATGGTGGCAAGATCGATTTCGAAGCTTCTCAATCTCTTCTTCGTGATCTCGCGTTCTCAATCGATGTGTCCTTTCCAGAGATTTATAATCAGCCTGAAGACGATTATAGTCTTGATGGAGTGCGTCGTGTTTTCGTCGGAGTTCCTCGTTGTCGGTGAGTCGATGTTTCAGAGTCTCTGAAAATTGAATTTATTTAAATTTTCATTCGAATTCAAACGTACTATTATCCCAAGTCAACGCTCCAATCGTTGTGATGTGTTGATTGACCAGTTTCTCCATAGTTTCGTGTCGAGGTTTGATGAAATTCAATTCTGCCGAGAGAATCGAATTCAAACTCTCCTTCTCAGCCAGTTCCTTCTGAAGCTGTTGGATTTTCCTCTGATCCTCGTCTGATCTCTCTTGGAATCTCAACTTGAAATCCACACTACTTTCCAATGTATCCGCTCGTTTTCTGGCCAATCTCAGCGATTCGTTCGATCGTTCCACGGTGTGCAGCTTATTTTGAAGCTTCTCAACAGTTGCGAACAGTGTCAGCTTCTCTGCTTCGAACTTCCGTCTCGTGGTCTCCAGGCAACTTTCTAGAGCGCTAATTCTCGACATATTCTCGCGGTCCAAGCATTTAACTTTGTTGATTTCACTGATGAGATGTTCGATGTCTTCAGTCAGTTTATTGAGGAACTTCAGGTTGTCTGATGTTGTGGAAGGGTGATCAAGGATTGAAGAATCGAAATCTTCAGCAACTCTTCCAATTGTCATATTGATTATCGTTTCCAGATCATCATATTCGACGACTTGCATCCCATTTATAGCTGCCACGCGTCCCTTTCTGATTGATGCCACAATCTCGTTGAATGTATCAATATGACCTTGCATCTCCTCTATTTTCGCCTCACTGGCTTCTGCTCTCTTTCTTTGGCTGACTGATGCATCCAGTGCCAAATCCAAGTCCTCCATACAATTCTTCAGCCTCTTTTTCACGCTTTCGAGTGAGATTTCGGCTTCTGCAAATAAAAAATACGGGCTACTGTAGCTTCAAGACTTCAAATCTTACCGGAATCTCCTGAAGAATCCACGTCGCTTGAAATCGGCAGGTTTGATTCGGATGTTTGGCCTGGGGAATCAAAGGGTTGACGGGCATCAATTGAAAACAGGGACAATGTGCTGTCCATTCTGCAATTCATAGATATTCGGTGGGAAAGAGAACGGGAAGACAGAAGTGAGAGGACATTTCTTATCGGGTTATTCACCAAAATGTAAAAAAATGCCGCGGAAACTCTGAAAAACCAATTTGGTTGAAACTCCGGAGAAATTAGAAGAAAAAAGAAGAAAAACCGCGCGCGCCCACTCTAAAACAGAAAAGTAGACCAAAATTTGATTTCTGGTTAGATGGCTCGTTCAGGACAAGAGTAGATGTCAGGGAAATTCGGAATAAAATTCAGAATTCCAAAAATTCCGACAATTTTCAAGTTTCGAAGTCTCTTTAGGCCGAAACTCAGCATATTTATTTCCGATTTTCGCTTCCAGATACGGTATTATGTCAAAGGCGCACGCAAGAAGTTTTCTTGCGGATCTCGAGCGAAATTATTTCTAACTGTAATTTTCTGGTTTTTCGAAATCTGTTTGTCGATTTTTCCCCATTTTTTTGCGATGTAAGTGAGATTTCTACATTAAAATTTAAAAAAAATTCTGAAATTAAAACAAATCAATTTTTAACATCGGAATTTTCAATATTCCTAAAAATTCCAAGCATCTCTTCTCCCAAAAGATTCAAATCCTCTTTATGGCTAATTTGTGCTGAATATTGGTACTTCATACAAGAATGTGTATAATAAATGCTAATTTTCAAAGTTTTTATTCTAAAACTGTCCAATAAAGTCTGAGCAACAAAAAAAATAGGAGTCAACAAGGTAATATTTATATGAAGACAAACAAGTGAAAACTCAACAATTGAAAACTGGAAAAAAATTAACAAAATGTGAAATATCTTATCCGACTCGAGGCTCGGCTTGCTTGAGTCCATAAACCTTCTTCATATGCTCGTATTTCTTTCGATCGGATTCTGTGACCGATGGACGGATTCTGCCAGCTGCCTCTCGGAAATGTCTCATTCCGACGCCTTGAACCGATTCGTCATTTTGTAGAACTCTGGCTTGAAGGGCGAGAAGAGAGGACTCGTGAATCAAAGCAGCAAGATCAGCACCTCTAAAAATGTTTAGATGAAAAAAAGAGTGGATATGTATAAAATTCACGTGAATCCAGAAAGTTCTGGAAGCTGAGCGATTTCCTGGAAGTCGATATCGTCAGCTAACAATGGTCGAGTTCCATTCTTGGTACTCTTTCTCAAAATATCCACACGATCTTCAACAGATGGGAAATCAACAAAGAGAATCTTGTCAAGACGTCCAGGACGGAGAATCGCAGCGTCGACGATATCTGGCCTATTAGTGGCTCCAATCAAGAAAACCTTTTGTCTCCCTTCTACTCCATCCATCTCTGTCAGCAATTGATTAACCAATCTAGCACCTCCAGAACTTTCTCCATGTGATCTTTTCGGACACAACGCATCGATTTCGTCGAAGAAAATAACGCATGGCTGTGAATCTCTTGCTCGTTGAAACACCGTTCTCACTGCTCTTTCTGACTCTCCAACGTACATATTCAAAAGTTCTGGACCTTTTACAGAAATGAAATTCATTCCAGTCTCGTTAGCAACTGCTTTTGCGAGAAGCGTTTTTCCACATCCAGGTGGTCCACAGAGAAGAATTCCCTGTGGTCTACTGTCGATTCCCAACGCAGCAAAGTCATCAGCTCTTTTGATTGGATACAAAATACTCCATTCCAATTGTTTTCTCACTTCAACCAATGCTCCAATATCTTCCCAAGACACATCTGGAACTGTTGCGAATCCTTCTCTCTTGGCTGCCGGTTGAATTGTTGACAGAGCTCTCTCAAAGTCTTCAAACGAAATTCGAAGTCCTCCATTTAGTTCTGATAGTGCCGATGGATCGTCTTCGCCTTGTAGCCATGCCAAAACTCTGTCCAGTTCTTCCTTGATCTGTTCAACTGTCAGCTTTTTGTGTCCTTCGTTTTTGGAAACAATCGTATCAAATACTCGATCGATTGCAACTTTTGCGGCTTCTCTAATCAATGCTTGAAGATCAGCACCCACGTATCCTGGAGTCAATTTTGCGATTATCTTCAGAGTCACATCGTTACCAAGGTTTACTCTGAAAATTGACAATAACACCCGAATTTTATTTTATTTACCACAAACCTGCAAATTTTCTCCAAAATTTTCTCTCTTGCCGTCTCATCAGGAATTCCCAAAGAGATTTCATTCTCGAATCGTCCCGCCCTTCTTAATCCTCCGTCCACTGCATCCGGCCTTGAAGTGGTTCCAATAACGAGAACACCGGAAGAAGAGACTGAAGACGATGTTGGCTCGTTAAGGATGGCAACACTTCCATCGTCTCCAAATGTCAGCTGATCTTTGAGTGGTTTCTCGCGTGGTGGGAGTACAAGTTCTGAGAAAAAATACTGTAAAAAAGCAGGAGGGCCATAAGGCTCCTGGACGTTTCAGAACTCAACATTTCAGAACTCGATGTTTCAGAAATTTTCTGCATTTCTGCCTAAAATTTAATAAATTCAAAAATCTGGAATCGAAAAATACAGAATTCCAAAACATTTTAAAAATCGGAAATTCGTTTAAAAAAAATCAAAAACGCATTTTTGCACATTTTCAGATCCTTTTCAGAGGATTTTAGAGTCATTTTTAGACAAGTTCAGAGTATTAGAGTGCATTTTTAAGCGATTTCAAACATTTTCAAGTAATTCGGAAGTTTTTCGTCGATTCAATTTTGGACCATTTTAGCACATTTTTAAACAATTTTAGAGCATTTTCAAAGAACTTTCTACGATTTTTGTTTTATTTTTGCATACTTTTGGTAATGACACTGTTTTTGAAATTATTAATTGGCTTTTTCCGAATTTTCGAAAGTTTTCGAGTGTGAACCTATCATTAATTGTAGTATGGTAGAAGAGAACGAATAAAAATTTCAAAAAAAAACAACAAATAGAATTGAGCAATACTCATTTGTTGTGCGAAAACCACTATGCAAAAATGAAGAAAAGTTCTGAAACGTCCAGGAGCCGGCCATAATACTTACCATCTAGAGAACTACACAATTGACTGACAACTCGCCGTTCCATCTCTCTTTGAGCTGTTTCTCTTCTCGGAGCAATCGCATCAATATCATCAAGAATCAGAATGCACGGACTATTCTGTTTTGCAGTGTCGAAAAGTCGCCTGATCTTCTCTTCCGTCTCTCCAGAAACTCCCGAAACCAATTCAGTAGCTGCTAATTGAAGCATCGGAACTCCCAGCTCTCCAGCCACTGCTTGTGCGAACAGTGTCTTTCCGCATCCCGGTGGTCCATGAACAATGAATCCACGTGGAGGATCGACACCGAGAGTTGCGAATGTTTTCGGACGCTTCAAGTGCATCGCAAGACGACAAACTTCCAAAAACTGGCGATCCGCTCCTCCAATGTCTTCGAATTTCACATGAGATTCACGAGGACTGATAGTATCAGTGACGGCTCCAAGACCACGAGGAAGTGCTGATGCTGGTCCTCCTGCTTTCTTGTTATTTTGATGTTGATTTCTCTTATCAGCAGAAGGCGTCTGTGGCTGAGAAATAGTCGGAGTTTTGGGCAAAGACTTCTTCGTGGAACTTCCATTATTATAAAGATTTAGAACCGTTTTGTTGGCCCTATTAGTGTGTTTCAAAGATTCCAGTTGTTTAGCAGCAATCTCGTGTTCTTCATCGCTATCATCACTGATAATCACTTCTTTGGGAGTAGACGATCTGAAAAACAATTATAGTCTTAAAATAAATAAAATTCCTTACCCAACAGAATACCTTACAGTCGGCGCTTTCCTCTTTCTGGTCTCTATAATTCTTCGAGGAGGTTCTGATCGCAGTTCCTGAACGTCATCCATTGCTTCTTTCTGCTCCAAAGCTTCCTCTTCTTTCGCGGCTAATTGAATTCGTTCGAGCGCTTCTCGCACCATTCCCATGAAAACTTTGTGATTTTTACGTTGATATTCTCTGAAACTTGAAGAGTTTTTGACTCAATTTGAGTTTTCCAAATACTATGAAAATTAGTGTTCTGGTGAAAAATTCGGAGCGGTGGCCACAACGAGAGCTACCGTAACCTATAAATATTTCTATTTTCCGGATTTAATTTTTCGAACTGATTTTACTGATTTTCGCCCAAAAAAAGTCGGAAAATCAAAGTGTTTGATAGTGATTCAAAAAAACGAAAATCGAGAAAAAAATTGATTTTTTCTTCTATTATTTTTGCAAAATTTTTAGACCTTTTCAGGTTTTTCAGCTATTTTTGAATTCTTTTTCGATTTTTCCAAATTTTTGTCTGAAATTTGATGGGATCGTGTTCTTGCCGGAAGATTACTGTAGAAAACCTTGTAGTTTGTAGTTTTTTGCAAGCAAAAAATATCTACATTCTGACGTGATTGTGTTTGCAAAAAAAAACAAAAGGAAATTAGGTTTCTACAGTAATCTCCAGTAATCAAAAAGAACGTTCCATCAAATTTCGGACGAGAAAAACCGGAAAATCGAAAAAGAATCGTCGAAAATAGAAATCGCTGAATTTTCAGGTTTTTTTTCATTTCTTCGGAGAAGAATAGCTGAAAAATCATAATCGATTAAATTAAATTCAAAGAATTTTCGGTTACTGTAGTGTTCGTTGTAGGACATTCGGCTCCGAATTTCTTGTACCGACATAAGGTTAGACATACGGGTGCTCTTGTTTCAGATCGTAGGCCACCATTTCCGGCTTGAAATATTTTTTACCAGGATTTTTCCGAACGTACACTTGAATACGTGGCAAAAGCGCTGGATCACTGGCAAAACCCAAACCAGGACCAGGCATTTTCTGAAAGGTGTTTTTTCCACTTTTGACTTTAAAATACAAAAAATATGCATGCAATTGATACCAAACGAATCAGGGGAATCGCTGAAAAAATTCTAACAAATAATTTTAGAAAATTAATTTTATTTTTTAGGTATTTTTTGGTTGTTGAAAATAAGTTAATTTTATTTAACAGATATAGTAAATACGATGATTAATGGGGAAACGAGAAGAGAGAACTGGGATACTAGAAGAATAATAATGTTTTCAATAAATTATGATTTTTGGCGGAGTTTTTGGGTTGTAAATAAAAAGGGATGGATGATTTTTTGAGGTTTACAAATATACAATCAAAAGGGGGGACAGTAAGTGGATCAGTGTATGAATAAGTGTACTGGATTAGAGAGAGAGAGAGAGAATTATGCAAGATGTGGGAGGAGGAAGATTCTACAAAATTTATGAAAATTTGGAGAATTGAAGATCAAGGGAGATTTCTTTTTTCGATGGAACAGAAGAGACAAAAACGGGTGATATGAGAGGGGGCGGTTGCTGTAAATTGGAAGAAAAAAAACTATTTGCACCATTTTGAGAAAACTTGGGGACCATTTATAAGACACGAATTGGGTGGGGGGTAGGCGAATAGATTATTGTATTATCACCGAATGAGGTCATTGCTTTAGAGTTTCGTTTTTGGTTTTGAGACGAAAAAAATGAGAAAAAAAAACAAATTGAAAAATGCCGATTCTATACCCTTTGGCACAAGAAAAAAAAGGTCTAACACGAAAAACAAGAAGAAGTAGAAGAAGAATCAATCCCAGCCGGCTCCGGTCACTTCTGTTTTGAATCCGTCCAAGAGACCTTCTCTTATTTTTGAAATGCCTTCACTGTCATCCTGAAAATATAATAAGTATAAAACTTGTGAGAAAACTAATCCGGAGAAATCAAATATCGTATTAATTTTTGCAATTTTTTTTTCAAAAACTTTCCAAACATATGCAGTCTTTGAGCTCATTTTGAAGCTCCTTGCATAGTAAATCCAAATGTCTTACGAAAATTGAGTTACGCTTATTTTCGTCTGAAATTAATGACGCATGGTTTGAGCTCAATTGTCTTTATTGCTTTGAAATTTATCAAAGAAGTTTCAACTGACAAAACACTTGTGATATTATTCTAAACAATTTTTCCGTTGATAACTTTTTTATATCTTCGACAGGAACTGAGAAAAATTGGCACAAAATCAAAAGTTAGAGGATCTTTCTATTACATGTTACATTTTACGATATTTTATTTCGATTTACAAAATCCTCACCTTGAATGCATCCGCACTACCGGGATTCTGTCCAGATGCTGGATTGCTCATTGGATTGCTCAATGGATTACTCATCGGACCACCACTCGGCGTACTTGGATTCACGTTGTTGTTCACACTGTGCGCAGATCCTGGCGCTGATCCCGGTCCTCCTCCATTCATGGATACGGATGCTACTGCAGAAGAGACTGGGGCTCCAACACTACCACAAGAGGCTCCTGTGGGTGTCATCGCTTCTGTCTTCATTTCTTCTCCATTGCTCATATTCTCTTGTTTCGGCGTTTGCATTTGCGGGTGGCCCATCGACGAAGGCGTTCCTACTGATCCTGCCGATGTTGTTGCTTGCGGTGGTACACTTCCTGGACCGCCACCTGGTACGGATCCTCCCATTCCGGGTGTTCCTGGACCTGGAGCTCCTCCTGTTGGACCGGCTGACATCGGTTGTTCCGTCATACCGAAAGGCATTGCTGAGCTACTCGTTGGGGGCATTGGTGGCATTCCCATAAACGTTCCAGGCATGTTTGGATCGCCTCCTGGTGGTGGACCCATGTTCGGAGAGTTAAGTGACATATGAGGAGGCATGCCTCCATTGGGTAACATTCCACTACCACTGGGACCAGCAAACTGTTGTACACCTCCTGGACCCATGAAATCATATCGTGGCATTCCAGGCATCTCTGGAAAGGATGTTTTAAATTGAAATTTGAAAATTATTAATCTTACCACCCATTCCTCCAGGCCTTCCCATTCCACCAGAAAACGGCGGTCCAGGTGGTGCCATTCGCATTCCAGGATTCGGCATTCTTGGCATTCCAGGATTAAACATAGGAGGAAAAGCGCCCGGTGGCATTCCAGTTGGTGCCATTCTTCCGGGTGGAAACCGTCCACCATACGCACCAGGATGACCACCCATCATTTCCATACCCATAGGAGGACCGAACTATAATTTTTAGAGGTAATGTTTGATGTATTTAAAGAAAAAACTCACATGTCCATTCATTCCTGGGGGCATTCCAATCATGCTGTCATGGAAATATTTCGCTTCTGTTGAAAACATTGGAGGCTGCTCTCCGAGTTCCCTCCGTTCGGGCGCCGCTGACCAGAGATCCCAAAAAAGGCCCCACCAATCGAGGAGGAATGTTTTTTCTGACGGTTTTACGGGCGTTTGCAGCGCTGGATTCTGATTTAACACCTCCTCTTTGAACGCTTCCGCTGTTTTCGTGGCGCCCGTTTGTAGCAGAAATTCGTATACGTACGTTGTTAATCTGGAAGAAATAAGGAATTGTATATGCCTGTAATAAAAGGGCCCCATGGCGTTCAAGGGCATTCAAGCTCAATTATCACAATTCCTATGCTAAAAGTCAAAAATGTGTCAACTGACAAAATGCTTCTGATATTATGATAAGCAATTTATCACTAGGCTGGTATTCGATATCTTTGATAGGGTTTACGGCAATTTGAGTCGAGATTTTTTTAAACAAAATGATTTAGGACATCAGTAAAGTACCGTAAATTCTGTAATAGAAAAACTGTGATTCTATTTTCAAATTTTTAAGAGAAAAACTGGGATTTCTGGCCCAAGAAAGTAGACCGAGATGATGCCCAGATCCTTAAAATGTCCAATTTACACAGTTGGAACCAGTCCGACCGTACATCCCTAACGCGTCGGGACCCGTAAACGATTTGCCTGCTTTCACCTTTGCGAATCGGAAATTCTGTGAATCTGAACGACTCTTTGGACTGCTTTTTGGGTCCAGAAATCTCAGATTTGGTAACTTTAAACGCAGGATTACCAATTTAATTTTTAAAAATATCGAATGCTCACCGATCTTTCGCTATTTCTGTTATCGCCGGAGGTTGTTGTTGCTGCTGCATCTGGGGTGGTTGCATGGGTTGTTGCATCTGCATGCCGGGAGGTAGACCACCACCACCTCCTCGAGGCTGGAACATGAACGGATCTTCGTGTGGCGTTTCCATGGTTTCAGCCTGACTATCGTCGAATGGCGGAAAGCGAAGGAATGTTTTTGGCGGAAAGCGAAGGAATGACGCATCAGAAGTTTGAGGTGGTAAACAATACAGTTTGATTCATGGAGTCTTGAGGGGGAGGAACAATAGGAAACAAAGTTAGGGAGGAACCTCAATTCCATGGCCATATGGCCTAGTGTTTTGAAACGGAAGGAATAAGGAAAGAAGAGACGGCGGTGCAAATTGGTATGATGATGATGATGAAAACGAAAAAGAGAACGTCTTCTCAGAAGGCGTGAAGATGACCTTCGAAACTCATTAGCTTCCGAGTTAACTTTCGAAAATAGGTATTGAACTTCGAACTGGTAGGAGAGACCAAAATCATAAGTTCTTCCGAAATAATACACTTTAGTTGCTTTGTCAGATCGATAAAAAGGGTAATGAACTGTTCAAAGAGGAGAGTTAGACTTAATAAAAGTAAATAATAGGAGGAAGAGGAAGAAGGAGAAGTGGGGGAGGTGAAGAAAGCATCACAAAGTGTGATGATATCGTTGTGATAAAGGAATCGTGTGTGAAGCATGGTGGGCAGTGGAATTATCTGAAAGTGTCCAAAAATCACTTTTGAAAATATCGTAAAGCCTGTAATAGAAGGGCCCCCAACTTTTCAACTTTGAGCCAATTGATCTTGGATCCTGTGAAAGATATCAAAACGTTGTCAATTGATAGATTGATTACAGGTTTCACGGCAGGTAAAATGGAAAGTTCATGTTATTTTTATGGTTCAAAAAATCCTAGCTGTGGAAAAGAAACGCCGGTGGCCGTGACCGAAGGTACCAAAACTACAGTAATCTGAAATTATTATTATTTTCCGAATTTGTTGTCTCGATTTTCTGGTATTTTCTTCCAGAAAAGTCGGAAAACTGAAATTTTGGACAGTTAAAAAATTGGCTGAAAACGCCCGAAAATCGAGAACATAAATCCAAAAAAATAACGATATTTTTGGGTTACTGTAGTTTTAACTGTAAAACATCGGCCACGGTCACCGACATTTCTCTTCCATGGCTCCGAAAAACCTTTTGAGTGGGAATTTAATCAATTTTCAGATAATTTAAAATTCAAGACTAAAAATCAGAAAAGAGAAGAAAAACTACAGTATTCACTTTTACAAAATGGAATCTTTTAGAAGAATTTGTTGCAGAATGAAAGGTAAGGTGCCAAACTAAAAAAAAGTTTTTACTCGTCTCTGACGGAACTGAACGCATAAACAACGGAGGGTTGAAAAAAAATCTGGGGCTGAAGAGACGCAGAGGGTGCAAGACAGGTGCGGTGAGAGAGGGACTAGAAACCCCAGGAGCAATATGGTGTGACAGTTTAAAATAAAGTTGAAACGGGATAAGAAAAAGGGACAAAGCTGACTACTCCTTTTCTTCTTCTTCGACCAACAGCCCCATCCAGTAGCAGCCGTTGGCCAAGAAAGGCCCCTCGGAAGATGATGGTGTGGAATGAACAAGGCGATTGGTTGGGGAGAAAGGAGAAGCAGAGACAAGGAGAGAGAGAGTCCCCACCCGAGAAAGATTATTCTAGAGTAGAGAGTTACTGAAGAGACGCAGAGAACACTGTGGTGTCTAGTGAACGGGAGATAGAGAGTATATCTCCCGAGAGACAGAGAGGATGGAGGAGAGAGCCCGAGAAAGTACAGGATGTAGGATGACGCAGAGAGGGTCGACGGGAGGGTGACATGCATTGTTGGACACACAGAGAGACTCTCTCTCCCTCCTTTCCTCCTTATTCTCTCGGTATGCATACTGACACAGTGCGGCCTTTGCGTATCTCGCGTGCGCACTGACCCTACAGCTGGCAAGCAGCCAACTAACAGACAGAACTCTGGTAATATCTGCGTTTCTCGAATATCGATTGCTTATGTTTTGCCTCCTCCTCCAAGGAGGGAGGGTTGAGGTCTTCTCTTACTAGGGGGACGGGGTTAGATGCGTCGCCGCTCGTTTAACAATAGCCCCCCTCTACTACTCCGCGCACACGGACTGCACGCGGGTCTCGCGCCGTCATCGCCACCGACGATATGACGACGACTCGCGACCCACCGACCTTATTTACTGTGAAAGTGGCGAGAGAGAGGAAGCTGGCCGACTTTACCGGGGATAGCAGGTCAATACTGTACAAGCGAGCGAGATACAAAAACAAGAAGATAGTTGAGAGAGAAAAAAAGGGAAATGACGAAAGGGATGGTTGGAAAGGAGTACGAAGGGGTCTCTCTCTCTCTCGAGAGAGAGAGAGAGACATCCTAGGAAGAGAATCATGATCATGAACTATGTTCCAAGGGTGGATCAATTATACTATCTAGGTCAGACTGCACTTGCAATGGATAAGACCATAGGTATCAATAAAGTCATAAGATGAAAAATTCTAGCGGTGAAATCAGTTGGAAACGGAGTCCTGACTGTGAAAATGAACTGAATAAAGTTAAAAAATCCTCCGAATCGGTTATCAAAACGAATACTTTTTCTAGTACAAAAACTCGGAGCTGTGGAAGAGAAGCGGCGTTGACCGTGGCCGGAGGTCCCACGAAAACTACAGTACCCTATAAATATTTCTATTATCCGGATTCATTTTCTTGCTTTTTAATGCTTTCTGTTATTTTTCTCCAAACCAGTTAGAAAATAAGAATAGTGAAAAAGTGACTAAAAATGCACGGAAATCACGGCCACCGAAGTTCCTCTTCCGGCACATGAAGGATTTTTGTGAATTTAGTGCTTTTCGGGTAGAAAAACACAACGGTGATAGCCCAGTCTGGACAGTTTTCGAAAACATTTGGTAAAAAACATTACAATCAAATTCGGCTATTACATAGTCTTTGAATTTTGCAGAAGAAAAAATGATTCAACAGTAGACAGAACTTATTTTGAAGGTTGCTAGCCTATTTTTTCATATTTTTTGAGCTGAGAAAAACGTCCTGGATGCTAATAGAAAACTAGAAGTACATACGATGTAAGCAGACTTGAGAGAATATTTAACAGGAAAAAATACAGAAAGGGTGCACTTTTAAAAAGAAACCTCTGAAAAACAACGTTGATCGACAATGAACTGAGGAAAATTGAAACATGTTCCGACTCAAAACCAGAAATTTTCCATTTGAAAACTGCTAACAAAAATGTGTTTTCAGGTTAAATTGATAGCAAAAATTTTTCGAATTTGAAAAAAAAAATTAAAAATACAAAAAATAAACTGAGCGCACTTCGTAATGGCGGAGTGTCGTTGTTTCCTGCGTCTCTCGTTTTAGAACGCTCTCTGGCTCCTCCGCACTTTCTTTCAATTATTTTTTCATCGAAACTGCTGCCAAAAAAGCTTCTTAAAGGTCTAAAATTCCAATTAAAACTATTTTTTCGCTCACTTTTTTGTTCTGGTTCATTACACATAAATGATTCTATCGTTATTTTCAGAATGCATCTTTCTACGACACTGTCTCTGCGAAGAATTCTCAACAGTGGTTTTCATCCGTTTCAAGTAATTCCGAAGCCTGATGTATGGATGAAGCGAGAACGCCTCAATCGATTTACAGCTGTTCGTTTAATTTTTTGAAAAAAAAAACAAAATCAAAATTTGATAATTTCAGTGGCAATACGCATCAGAACGAGACACAGTCAAAGGAGCATACAGAAAGGAGGATAAGATTTTCACCTATTTGAACATGCAGCGGCAGGATGAGCCAAAGCTCGAGAAATTCGCAAGAAAAAGATTATTAGAAACAAAAAACTGGAGATAATTTTCAGCACGCCGAAGAACGAGTACGTACTGCGCTTGCTGAACATGACATGGAATATCCAAAATTCAAATCGATTCTCGCACAGTCTCACATTTTGCTCGATAACATTGTCCTTTCACAACTTGCCATCTACGAACCAAGATCCTTTAAAGTACGTTTTTATCTGAAATTTTTCACCCGGAGCTGCATAAATGGATGTTTTCAGAGTCTCGTCGCATTTGCAAAAGAACTAGCTCGCCAAGAAGGTATGGATGTGATTCCAGATGATCCAGAATTCTCTTATGATGTAAGTTTATGTTTCCAGCATTTATTTCTTAATAAAACTTCATTTACAGGTTCATGTGGACAACAAGTCAGTACTCCGTAAACCACTACCACGAGCCGTTGAATACACACGAGGAGCTTCTGAAAATCACACTCACAAGCCGAGAAAGCTGCGAGAGAACGAGTATTAACCTTGCTGACCTTTTTTCTAGAACTTATTATTATTATTATTATTATTGTTATTTAGTCATCTTTTTGCTGTTTTAGTTAGTGTCCTACTCTTTTGCGATGATATGAAAATGAATATCAAAAAAGAATTTGCGTCTTCATTAATACATACAAACAACAAGAGAAATATGCAAATTGTTGGCTATTTTTGTTCGATTTTTGGCACTAGGTTTTGGAGTTGGAGGAGGAGGAAGAAGAAGAGAAGAAGACACCCATTTAGAGAACCGCATAATTTTCCGATTTGTCAATGTGACAGTTGGTGATGATGATTGTGTTGTGCTCCAGAAGAGCGTCGTGGCCAGATGTGCTTGCAGCGACCGGGCTGAAAAAGTTTATTTTGTAAGAATTCAAAAGCGGTGCTTTTTTGGGGATGCCGTTCAAATGCGCTCAGACGAGAATACCGTATTTCCTTTAATAGGAGGCCACCCGAATCGTAAACTTTGAGCTCACTTATCTCGATTCCTATGAAAGATACAAAAAAGTAGTCAATTAACAAAATGGTAATCATAATATCACCAATATTTTATTAGGTGACGATTTTTTATTATCTTTTATAGGAACCGAGATAATTGCGTTCAAAGTTGACGATATAGAGGAACCGTTAACTTCCTATAAGAGGAACCGTTAACTTCGAGATCAATTATTTCGATTCTTGTGAAAGATATGAGATACTTGTCAACTGATATAATATTTTTGTTATTATGAAAAACAAATTATCAGATGACAAATTTTTGGTATTTCTCGAAGGAATCGAGATAATTGAGCTCAAAATTGACGGTTCTTCTGGGCTTTTTTAGGGGAAATACAGTAACCGTAATACTACAGCAAGAATTAGCGTTGGCCTCGACGCGAAAGCTTCAAATTCAGCTTTCTTACGGTTTTGTGCCTGGATTCCATCGGAACAGCGCAGAAAAAGTTTTATCTATGAAAAGTTCCGGAAAAACCACCATGTCCGGAAAAACTTTGCATTTGAAAAAAAATTCCAGCGCTTTTTTTCGATGAAACAGGCAAAAAACAGTAAGACTCTACAGTTGAATTCGAAGCCTTCCCGTCGAGACCAACGCTAATCTTACTGTAGCATTACGGTAATTAGTGTTTGAGCGCATTTACAAGACGTTCCGAAAAAACACTAATTACTGTAAACCCTCTAATAGAAGACCATCCAATCCGTCATATTTAAGCTCCTATATTTCAGTTACTGTGGAAGATATCAAAAAGTGGTCAGCTGACAAAATATTTTTGTTATTATGATAAACATTTTGTTAGTTGACTGGTATTTGATATCTCTTACAGGAACTGAGATATATAACCTCAAAGTTTCAAAGTTGACGTTTTGGGTGGCCTTCTATTAGAGTGTTTATGGTAAATGAGTCAGAATTACCTCGGTGGTGGGCAAACAGTTGCGAATATTCTACCAATCGATCTGACACAAGCCAATTCTTTGAATGCCGATCGGATTTTTCCATTCATCGAGCAGAGTAAAGTGAAAATGATAATGGAAGACAGCAAAGTGAGCAACTCGGTCAAATCTCCCAGTTCATAAATCAATGTGCTACTGGAAACAGTGGAGAGAACAGCCAAAACTCCTTGTGGTAACTCGACAATGATGAAAAGAACCATGATCGCTAGAATCATATTCGTAGTTCTCGAGTGTTGTTTGTCTCGTTCCACATTTGAAAATCGGGAACTCAAAACTTGAATCTTCTTGAGCTGATCCAAAATCAAACACGTCATCAGGCAGAGAATAATCTGAAATTTTCAGAGTTGTTGTACACTCTCTTCAAGGATACATGTTTGACTTACCGATGGAACAACCTTGGCCATCAAATAAAACAACCAGAAATTCAAATTCCTGAGCCACATACTCTGAGTATAAGCCAGTTGATATGCCACCTTGTTCTTCAGGGCCGGATATCTCTCAGCACATCCCTCGTTTTCCGAGACCTGCAAAAAGATATTTCACACCCGTCTTCTGAACTTTTCAATATATTTCAAAGTGTCTGGAGAAGTCCCCAACTGTCAGTCAAACCAAAAGTTGTACAAGAAGTGGTGCGTAATTAAAGAAGAAAGAGAGCAAATGTAAACAAGACGTCTTTTAATGAGGTCCAATCAAGAAGCAGACCCCTTTTCTAGGCCGCTTCCTTCTCTAATTATTTTAAAACAGCTTCTTTCATAGAAAACGTCTGTGTGGGTGAAATGAGCATTTCAGAGATCTACTACTCACTTCTGTCACTCTGGAAGTGAAATGGAGTGGGATGCACAGGAAGATCACGCTCACATAGATCACCACAATTGCAATTCGAGATTTCTGAAAATTTCAGGTTATGTCTGATTGAATCAAGCTACAGTAATCCGTACCTGCCAAGTGAACCAGGGCACATTCGAGTTGATGCCAGAGAGTTGAGCCAGGGAGAAAAATCGGATAAGTGAGAGAGCAACCACATGGAACACCTGAAAATTAATGTTTTGAAGTTTTTATAGCTTTCTTGACTAATAGGGTAGTTGCCAGAACATCTCAAAGACTGGCGGGCTTCTGGCGTGCCTCTGGTGGTCCTTTGGCGTTTGTACTATCAGAACTAAAGTTTGTACTAGCATAAAATTTGGTGACAAAATCATAACTATACCTAGACTTGAGGAATCACTTTGAAAATTTCAGTAGCTTTGAATCAAACGTAAAATTATATTTCTACCAATTTTTGTGCTTCCAAGATCCTGTCTCAAGGTATACCCGTTTTTATCAGTCTAGGTAATTGTGCGCAACTTTGTATACGTGTGCTTCAAGCTCTATTATCTCGGTTCTTATGCAAGACATCAAAATGTTGTCAACTGATTAAATTGTTGGTGATATTATGAAAAACATTGTTTAATTGACACATTTTTGATACCTCTCATAGGAACCGAGATTATTAACCTCAAAGTGAACGCAAAGGGTATACGTCTTTCACTCACCGCTGACATATGAACCATAACTGAAACTGTGACTGATAAGTGCATTGTAGTAGCCATATAGTAGGAGAAGAAGAACGGATGGCACAGTTGATCTGACATGAATTTGAAGAACGTCGAGTAGAGAAAGTTGATGCATAGGGCGAGTTGGCTGCTGAAAATTAGTATTTTGAAATTTGCACCGCTTGATCCGTTTCTTCAAATATCCTGGGAACCAAACTGTTTCAATGATCCAATTTTCCCACAAAGATCAAAAGTTTTACTTTTCTCTATCCCCCGTAGAACATAGACGGACCCCACAAGGTGCACTCACTCCACCGCATAAAAACTTCCGGAGGATACAAATGTATGATTAGTCATCTCGCTATTTTTTTTTTCTCTTTTTCCCGCTACTACTCCGATTTTCCGGATCGATGAGCTGCCGATTGTTTACCGAAAATGGAAGTCAAAACCTTTCTTTTTTATTCAGCTTGCAGAGAAAAAGACGTCGAGCTGCTGTCATCTGATGAAAAATAGGAGAGAAAGTATGTCAACTGACTACTGGAGGCTAGTGGATCCGAAGATGGAGAAAGAAGAACTAAAGGTCGGAGAAAGGTCTAGAGTGTCTAGACTGAACAAATTACTCATAAGAAAAATGTCTTCTTGTTTTTGTTTGTTTAGAAAGAATCTCTCAGAAAAACCAAGTTTTATCCCAAGTTTGCCAAAAGATTAGAAACCTTTTAATAAATCTCTCAGGTCTGGCGAGTCCCCAGATTTTTGGTTTTGCTCTTTTCGGACATTTATTCGTTTTCCAGATTTCCATTTCAGATATTACACTGGCCAGAAATCTCCGGGAAAAAAACTTGAAATCAAATCCCAAGAGAGGAACCCAGAAAAAAAAGTACCGTGAAAAAAAGATGGCTAGTGAAGATTAATCGAAGTCGGAAACACAAATATTCGTTCTTTTTCTTTCTTTTTCCTTTTTTTTGCCCAAAAGTCAATCTCTCAACTAGATTGGATTGCTTTTCTATTGTACATGTGCTCATTTTTTCTAGATTACTCGTTTATTCGTCACGGGAAGAAAATCGTATGAGCATGCTTGTAAACGGGGCCATGGCGGGCCTTTAGGGGCGTACCATAGTTTCTTTTAGAAGCGATATGGTTAGATTTGCTAACTCAGATACGATAGAACGCGACAATCACTGCACAAGGATAGAAATTAAAAACTGTATCTTGTCTACGAACAAAGTTACAGACCAAATGAACCGAAAACATAGGAAGGGCCCGGCTCGCCCGTACTCTATGGCTTATAACTTTGTTCATAGACAAGATACCGTTTTTCAAATAATGTCATTTTGTAGTGCTTGTTGAGTTCTATCGTATCCAATTTAGCAGGTTCAAAAATAATAATTCTAAAAGAAACTATGGCAGGGCCCACGAAGAATGCCTGGTTTACAATAATGTAAACGACCATGCTTCAAGAAACTACAGTACACTCACCAACTCATCGAAATCAAGAACATATTTGTTGGGTTTAACATTGAAGACAGCGTGGTTATCGTCAACATATGTCCAAGAGCTCCCGAGATACAAAGCAGAAGAACCATCGGTGGATGAAAAATCCTGCCATATTCGAGAAGAAACGTCTCGAATACTGTGCTGGAGTCTGTGGAATTGCTCATTCTGAAATCAAGGAATATAATAGGGGGATTGTTTGGGGTGGGAGGAAGTCGTATTTTTGTGTCGCCGACGTATTTTTTGTTATTGGGGAGGCATTCAAAACTCAAAATGGGCGGTGAAATCAGGAACTATTATTGAGGAAGGGTCCATGAGTAATTTTGTAGGAGGGGGGGGGGAAGATTTCTTAGGATGTGTATGAAAATTCTAGTAAAACCAGAGAAAGACAACAATTTAGATGAGTATGGATGGAATAAACCTAGTTTTTCAGAATACTCGTTGTAGTCCGGATTTAATGAGTGAGAAGAAGAAGAAGAGATTCTAGATTATGAAGATTTTATTGTACTGAATTTTAGAAAAAGTAAAATTAAATGAGAAAAGAGAACATGAGCAATCAAAACGAATAATCTTTAGGCGCCGCGAGAAATGAAAAAGGGTGGGATTAGGGAGCCGCCTCCTCCGGAGGGAAAGAAGAAGACAACAAAAAAGGAACGGACGAACTGGAAAAAAGGATGGTAATTACAGAAGGATGAGCGGATAGAGAAGCAGATATGATTTTAAGCGGATTGAATTTTAACACCGTGCTGTTTTTAGAATACGAGGGCGTTCGGAGTACTAGGAAAAATGAAAATGATTTTTGACAATTTGGAGGATAAATAATTCTCAGATTTTAACATCGTCAAGGATCTAGTTTTTGTAAGAAAGACTTATATGATAACAGGTCTCATAATGGACCCAGGAGAATAGTTCTTTTGAAAATTATCAACAAAATATCCAAGAACTTGTAGTAATTGAGCTCTCCGAGCTCCGCGTCGTTTCGAAACTGCGACACTTCGAAACTGCGACATTCCGAAGCCTGTCATTTCAAAACCGTGGCAATTAATGCGAATGGATGAATTTCACACTACAAAAACAATTTTAGGGTTTTCAAATATGCTTATTCTGAGAGAACACATTCAGAAACTGGAAAAATTTTTAAAAACATTTTGAAAAAAATTCAATTATTGGAATTTTTAGAATTTCTGGATGTGTTCTATCAGAACAAGAATATGTGAAAACTCTGAAATTATTTTTGTAGTCTGAAATTCATCCATTCTCCTGTATTGCCACTGATTCGAAATAACCGGTTTCGAAGTGACGCGGAGTCAAAACATGTCATGTTTAGGCATATTTTGAAGTTCTCAACATGGCAAATCTAATCTTAAATTACAAACTCATGGTTTGAGCTCGATTATCTCAATTTCTATGCAAGATAGATTAATATTCCGACTGACAAAACATTCCCGATATCCCAATGAACAATTTTTCAGTTGACAAATTTTTGATGCCTTTGACAGAAATTGAGAAAAATTGGCTCAAAGTCCGGCCTTTCTATTACAGGCTTTACGCTAAACTGGCTATGTAGCGGTAAAATTTAAGATTGATTTGTTCTCCAAGTAGAAACCGGAATCGTATCAGATCTTTTTTGCCTCGATCTTCTGAGCTTGACCAGACCAAAACAGAGCTAACTAGGTGCTTCCTCCATAGAAAATTATATTTTTATAGGTATTTTGGCCCCATTATTTTTACCGAATAATACGGATTAAAAACAACGTCTTCGGATTAGATTTGTCTCTGAAAACGGAACACAAACACGAGAACGATGGTGTGTTGATTGAAATAAATGATGATGGATTCCTAGAACATTGACACCAGAAAAAAAAGTGGAGACGAAACGATGTTCAAAAGGGTATGGGAAAAGAAAAATGAGTCAGGAGAGTGAGGGAAGGACACAATTCTCAATTTTTGGTGGTGGTGAATCAAATCCCAATTATGTTTCATTCACAATTATTGAGAGTGGACTGCTGCAGTAGTGCATTGTGTGAGAAAGGAAAGATGTAAAACAAGTGGGCGGGGTTTAGGTGATTCAGAAGAAAGTTCTGGAACTAGGACTCTTGAAATAGAAAACTGTTTTGTTTCTCCAAGAAAAACCAACTGACAATTCTCGAGAAGTGTTCCTTGAGAATAAGAAAAGATTTCGGAAAACTCAAAAAACCAATTTGTCGAAATCCTAGGTTTTCAACAAAAAAAAAACAGATTGCATAGATTATCACCAACCGCCTGTGTCAAAAATGAGAACAATAAATGGATGAATGAAAAATTTAAAAAAGGAAGTGTTCAAGAATTCAAAAACTAAGTGACGAATTTTTGGTATCATGCTGAAATTCTAGAATGGGATTAGGACAGAATGTGGAGTCCACTAAAAATGGTAATTTTTGAAAAATCAAGTCTGAATTCTATTTTTCAGTTTATTATTGGAATTCTGTTTTTTCTAAGCTACTGTACTGGTCAAAGACACACCCCTGCCCGTTTTTGTACTTAAAAACAGGTGTCTTCCGGACATCGGCAAAAAGCTGAATACTTGGAAATTTTCAAAAAATTCTGTGAATGCAAATACATGTGTATGTTTTACATTCCTGAAATTTTTCAAAGTGCTCGGAATCCTGACAGCCGAGCTCCGGACTCCTGAAAATGGTCGAAAATTAACTAAAGTGTCCGGTAATGTATAAGGAAAAAACTGAATACCTTGAATTAAAAGTGGGACAAACTAAAAGCTGTTTTTCTAGACTTTCAGAATTTTTTTTTTCCAGAGTTTGTTTTCTTTTCAATGAGAAATGTAAACCTAGCTGCTGGATATCCATCTAAATATTAAATTTTTCCTTAAAAATGGGAAAAATAAAACCTAGTACATCCCACCTATCCCCTCAAAACCAAGAGACACTGGAGCAATTTCATCCATCCGGTTACTAAAAGGGGTGGGCGTGTCCTCCGCAACTTGTCTCGTCCTATATATCCGGAAATGGGCGGAGCCTGTGCCATGTAGACTCTAAAGGACTCCCATCACTCACAATGATTTACGGCAATTCTTGATTGAATTAGTAGAAGAAGAAGTATAGATTATCATAAGACCTATTTACAATCATGAGTCAAGGAAATGAAAAAAAAGCGAACACTTAGTATGTGAGGGTGGAATAGAAAAAATGTCAAAAACAAGGTATAATAACTCTATTGCATATTAATGTGAATCTTTTTTTTTTCTTGACACCAATTCTTACCTCGTGAGCAAAACTCCTGGAAACTGCCGCCACTTTGAATACAAAAAAAGTTAATTGAAACTTTGACTCCTCTGAAAAAGTTGTATTGGAAGCGGAACTGATTTCAGTTAAACTTTTTTCTGGAAGTGCATATAAGTGAAAAAAGGCAAAAAGAAGGAAAAGGAAGAATGAGGAGGGGAAAAGGGGAAAAGTAACTGGGAAATTGAATCAAATCGAATCGAGTTGGACCTCTAACAAAAGGAGCTTCTTCCTCTCGGACTCCCAACGTCTGCATTTATTGCAAAAAGCGCATGTCTGGAATCAAAAAAGGACACTCTTCTGGATTATTTTAGGAAAAGCAAACATAATTTAAGGAGAATGGAGCCAGACAAGTTTCGAGGAAACGCCGCAAAATCTTTTCCTTTTGCAAACCGATAAATAAGAAAAGATGGTTTTAGGATTGTCTTGTTTTTGACATAGTATGAAAGGATTACTGTATCCATCATCCTGATTTAGTCTTACGAAAATTCTTTCAGAGAAAAATATATTCTTTGGAAATGTCAAGTCAATTTCACTAATTTTTAGATGGTTCGAGAGAAAAAAAGAGGACATGGGATGTTTAAGAAAATCAGGCTCATAGTGAACGTCATGTTAAAAAAGGATTACTGTAGGGAAAAGAAAAAACTAGGTCAAAGAAAGGGTTCAATTTTTTTAAAATTGAAATTCTAAAAAAACGATTCAAAAAATCAAAACCAAATTCGATTTTGATTTTGGATATTTTTCAACTTTTTTCTCCCGAAAATTGGATGTCAAATTTTTTTTCAAAACCAGCAAGCCGGTGTGCCTTCGGCACTATTCAATCTAGTTTTTTACTGGTTCGTAGCTTTGCTCTACACTTTTCCTAGAAGGGTCCCGTGAATCTATATTTATTTTTCAAGCTTTTCAAAAGTTTACAAACTGACACGAGGACGGACAGACGCCTGTAGTGTTTTATATATAAGGAAGATCTTTAGATTCCATAAATTCTGAATCTATAGTGATACCCATCTGAAACGAACCTCATCGGATCCGCGTCACTTCGAAACCGCGACACTTCGAAACCAGTCATTTCGAAACCTTGTTAATACAGGCAAATGGATTTCAGACTACAAAAACGATTCTAGGGTTTTCAAATATTTTTTTGTTGATAGACACACATTCTGAAATCGGAAAAAATCCAAAATTCAATTTTTCCAAAAATTGTTTTTTTAAGTTTTGGACTAAAAAAATTATTATGGATTTCAAACATGCTTTTTCTGATAAAACAGATTCTGAAACTCGAAAAAACAAAAATTTAATTTTTCAAAAAAATAATTATTATCGAATTTCTTTATTTTCAGAATGTGCTCTATCAGAAAAATCATATTTGAAAACCCTGAAAGTGTTTTTGTAGTCTGAAATTTATCCATTTGTCTGTATTACCACGGTTTCGAAATAACTGGTTTTGAAGCGTCGCGGAGCCGAAAAATAGGTCAGAAAATAATTACGAAAATACTTGCACCTTTAAGGATTTCACTACCAAACCTAAGCTCCGCCCACTTTCGAACTTTTGGCCGCAATGCGCCTTGAAAATGGACCAAAGTAGACAAATCTTCTGAAACGTGCCTCATCACTTGAACTCCATTCCAAAATTCCTGTATGCAAAAAATAAAACTACTACGTCAACAGAAGATGATAGGATATGAAAGAAGGGATTTCAAAAACGAATAGACCTTTCTCTAACAACATTTCTCTTGAAAAATTCCAGAAGAAACAGGTCAAAGTTTGAGGTGTGGGAGGGTGTAAGAACTACCTCTTCCTCTTCTTTTTCCTCGTATCTCGACCACCTAACTACTTTTGCATGTGCTCTTACTCGGATAAACATGTTTTTTCTAGGAACACCCCGTTGTTGT